TTGTTTTTACTATTCCCATTGTATTTTATTATTTTTCTTCTTTTTTACTATTCTAGTTTGAGAGGTGAGAAAATAAGACCAACAGCACACCCTCATTAGAGTAGATGCTCAAACCAAAGCAGTATGGTTGTGGAGTTTCTAACTGCTATGATATATTGCCTCTAAGTATCATGTAACAGTAATTTTATACAAAGTAGAATTATAAAAAACGGAAAACTTAATAATGGCAGAATATCATTAAATCAGTTTAATGCCAGTTGATAACTAGCAGTGCTTACTATGTCTTCATAATACATCATTGAGCTATTTCCATATATAATGTATGTGTATATATGCTTATGTATGTATATGTGCACATATTGCTTTTAATGTTTATATTCATTCACAGAAATAAGTTAACAAGTTCATCTTGTTATGCAGTATAAAAGCTTTTGTTTTCAATAGCAAATCAAGGAAACATCAGCAGTCAAATTGTGTGCATTTTGTTTGTTTTTTTCTGACTTCTCAAAGACATTTTCTTCTAAAAGAAACTCAAGTGTTAAGGCTATTCCACATAATCTAAAGAAGGACTACTACTTCATGGTAATGATTGAATTGTAGGATTATATGCTCTAGGGAGCAAGTCTTACAAATCAAACCTATTTTACAGGTAGAAAATACCGTAAAGAAAATTATTATTGGAAGGATTACTGGCACATTGCATTCCTACACATGTCAAAGTGGAAAACATTCCAATTTAACTCTACAAAACATGTATCTGAGTCAACCAGCCACATATATATATACACACTTTCTTTTCCACTACAGAAGTAGTATTTAGTAAAGAAATTTTGCACATTTCTAAATGGCTGGTGTTCAAGCCTATTTGCCCACCATTTTGTTATTTCCTCTTTGGGTTCAAAGGCTGAGAAAGCAAGTAAATGCAACCCAGCACCTGGCAGCACATAGCCCTATAAGTAGTAAACATTTCAAGTCCCACCACTGGAGCTTTAATAGCTAGGGTTCGTTTCTTCCATATGACTACAAGCTAATAAATGCAGGGCATTCCATTCAGTATGCAATTAAGAGCTCTCTCGACTCCTGTTATTAAAGTCTACAAACTATTGAGCGTAAAATTAAAGTTGAGCAGTTCAGCTGTTTTTGACATCTAACACAGCCTGAAAAATAGTGATGTAAAACTCCAGAGTCAAAAGTCATCCCTTACAGACCATGGGCAAATGAAAAGCAAAAACACTGAGGAGAAAAGAGTAACTATATAAAACTTTATCATCAGTTTGGCGCATGCTTCTGGGCTCATGCAAATACATCAACCAGTTTGTTGAACACAAGATATTACATTGATTTTAACAGAATGCTACACGATTATTATTGCCAAAGCTCCAATGAAGGAAATAATTAGAGGACTAAGCATTTTAAAGCTTTCAAAATGACTTCAGGCAATAACCAGAAATACTATAGGAATTCTATATGCTGTGATTGGAAGGATATGGAATTGGTTCTTACTTTTTATCTCTCCTAAATTTTCTCTGGACTGCCAGACCATAGAAGATAGTGGATCTTGTTTTGCCATCAGCAGTGTGACATTTTGTAAATCTCATGCATGGCCAGGGTGACTTTTATTATTTTTTAATTAAAAAACAACCCGCCGAAAAAAAAAGAAGAAAATGGGGAACAAACATCATCATTAGTAGACGACGGCATCATTGAAAAAAAAAAATAGTAAATAGAAACAAAAAAAACACAACCAGGAGAAAACAACCTTGACACAACCAGAGAAGTCAAGTTAATGAGATTTCAAACACTGAAACCAAAGAAGTTGTTAGATAAGCCTCACACTTGAACCTAAGTGAAATTCTTCCAGGTTTTCTCAGCACTATGCCTATCAGTCTTGCTATGCTACAAGGAATATTACCTGTTGGAGATGCTAATTCAATTTGAATCTATGTGAACCTAACTCATTTTTATTGCTTATTATTGGAAGGAGTTATTATAATCAGAATATCTTGAAGTGAACCTCAGGGAGATGAAGGGTTTGAACAGAAATGAAAGGAATCTTAAACTTGAGAAATTCTTCAAAAAGATGTAGACAATCAACCTTTCCTCTATGTGTTGCTGTTATTTATTTTCTTTTTCATCTTTGTCTGCATTTTGAGAGGTATCACCAGGCCTCAGGACAAATGAAACATGATCCACATTTATTTTTTAGTAAGTTGATTCCACAAAATAGAGTTCCAGAAATATTTTTGAGCAACTTTTGTCCATTTTTCTACAACTTTCCTTTACACAATGCCTAGTTAATTGCCTAAGTAGATAAAAGATAACAATGGAAAGATCAACACCTGTGTCTCCCTCTCTGGAAAATGGGATAAGATTGCTACCTTCCTCAAAGAGTTTTTTAAGTTAATACAAGTACAGATATTAAATAACTGCCACACTCTGTACACTGTATAAAGCAAAACTGCAATAAAAAACACTGAACAGAGCTAGTTTAAAACCTAACTTCATCTCTTAGTAGCTATGTGAACTTAATTGAGACCTTAGTTTCTTTGTAAAATAATAATGCTGATAGCACCTTCTCAATTAGCTATTGAGAGGCCCAAATTAGATCCTGTATAAAGGGCTCAGTAAGCATTAAAAGAAGTACTCGATATAGGAAATAAGTGTCGTCTTAGTTTCTTATTGATAACTTATGCCTCATTTTTGATGTGATGAACAGGTATATTTTAAATCTAGTATTCCCAAGAATCTGTAACCTAAACATTCTGTACCCTAAATCCTGGTCCTTGAACACCTCAGTTCTTGATGGCCACAATTGATATGAGAGTCAGATAGCAACAACACGAAAAGAAGACTACAGAAAAGCGAAAAATCTTCATTATACAGGAGAGAAATGCTGTCTCACCAGAGTATGAGAAAGACAGTCTAACCAAATATTAAAATTTAAAAACAAAGTGGGCAGAAGCCTCATATATTGTGTGAATAATGTCCAAGTCATTGCCTGTGTCTGAAGATGACATATATTTACCTATTCTACCTACTCCAGATTGGTTTTTAGTGTTATTTCAACAAGAAAAGTGCTTTAGAATTTTAATAACATTGATCATATTTAGTTATATTTAAACAAGGGCATAATTAAGAAAAAGCTGGAAAGTGTTAAGTGTTTGTCCAGAGGATTGTTGAAACAAATTGCTCCCAACTTTTGTTGCTAATCCAATACTAAATATTTGACCAGAGCACCAAAATCCTGTGGTCACATTGGTGCTGACAATAGGTTCACCAAACTTAAAAAACAACTCTAGGGCTTACAGAAAAGAAACCCCTATTTTTGCTTTGGCAGCTTAGACATACTTATCATGAATAATATTATAATCTAAAGGCTATTTGTTAACCCTAAAGTTGTGTAATGTAATTATAAAATATGGAGATAGCACATTGAAAATTCATTTCTTCAGTTAATGTGACCAGTGTCACATTTTCCACCAATATTATTTGGTCTAATCCTCTTGAAGTGAGTAGAAAAAGTGGATATAAGAAATGTGATTGATGATAGACTTTGGTCGACCCCAGAAGAGAACAGAAGCTCAAAAGACATTTCATAAAGTTCAAAATTTGGCAAAAGGACTATAGTATCTCTGATAATTAGACTTTCAACACATTTGGATTTGCTAATTGGATCTCAGTTCTAATTAGACTTTTTTTTATATAACTAAGAATGACATATCATTGTATGAATTTAATGTGCTTTTACAGTTGAAACGAACAATTAGCAGCCTCTTCTAAATTATTTAATATGGAAAAAGCTGGCTGCATTATTTTTATTGTGTCATCTTCTTTTACAATATATTGCATATGTTTGAGTTTTCTTAATTAAATCCCTTTTAGGAACTCAAAGAGAAACTTGAGTTTTTACAGGAAGCACCTAAATGGTTTATTTGTGAGGGAAACTTGCCAATATGTTGATGACTTTGGAAACCACAAACAAAATGCAGTATAAGAAAATAAATCATAGCCATCAGGAGGAAATAGCACAAATAACCAGGTGTCCTGATAATCATTCAGTTAATCAAAAACAGTCTCCAAATATGACTAGAGCTCTGTTACATTTTAAAAGCATGCAAATGCAGAATAGATTCCCAAAAGTGAGGGCTCATGGAGCTGAAATCAGAGTTAATATCATGACATTTCTTCCTAAGGTGTGCATCTCTTTCTTTTCTCTGTATTTCTGATTGAAACTTGTCAATTTTTAATCCTGTGGAGATTTATATAGTTAGTCAATTTTAAACTAGTAGCCCTCAGATTTGCATATTATAAGAGTTAATAACTACATGAAGGTATAAAATTAAGCCAGCATTTGAAGAATAAAGAGCGGTGAACCATTGTACAACTTAAAAAAAAAAAAAAAAAAAGCTGTTACCAAAATATTCAGACAAATTGGTAGCATTGACAAAAAGATAAATTATGTTGCTTTATACACTGTGAATACTTCAAAAACAAAATATACGTGATATTATTCCTCAAAAGCATTTGTACTCTTAAAAAATACATAAAAATCATTTTAAATATTTTAATAGTTATTTTTCCAAGTAAAAACAGTGTCAGATCAAATTAAAGTATTAATGCTGTGAGAAAATTAAACTGGTGCAGTAATTGATATATTAGAGTAGATGTTATTCTGGAATTATATGCGGTATTATTTTTTCAATTAGTGCATTACTGTGACTGAGTTATTGGTGTATATATAAATCCTCCTTAAGTCAGATGTCCTCCATGAGCCTCCAAAAACATGCTGGGCACTGTCATACACCAGAAAATGATATTTCAAAGCAGGAAATAGCATTTCTGATTGTTTTATTTGTTGCTAAAAAAAAAGAAAACCCAAGCAGGACCCTTTCTATGCTAATTGTTCCAAGAGCTCTCACAGGGTTCTCTATAAGGTCTCTCCAGTGGCAACTGGACTATTCTTCAGGCAGAAAAGTGACCGAAGCTATTTTATTTTTCAGCTTGGGTGCTGGAATCCTGTCACAGGTCTAAATGGGTCACTGACTGACAAGAAACTGGAGAATAACATGCGTGGAGTGGTTCTACGTGTGGTAACTGTTCTGGTAAGTCTTATCTAAGCCTTGATTTTGGCTTCTAGAGGCTCCTTTTCCTTCCATTTATGTTTTGTTAGTTGGTTCCACAGTCTTCGGAGTTTTTAATAAATCTTGATTACCTGTTTAATATATTTTAATGGTTATATTTTCCAACTTTCAATTATGCAGAGCAGGATCAGGTTTTTTGCAGGCTTTTCTTTAATTATGATGCTTTTTCAGGAACTTTCTTAAGACATTTTAGGCTCAATGTTATCCTTCTAGAATTTTCTACTCACAAAGTGGAGGTTTCCCTGAGGCATTCTCTCACTGGAACTGTAGTATGCATAAGGGAAGATGACCAGGATGAACAAAGGTAGATGTGGATAAAATGTAGTACATTCAGTAATGGTGAAACATTAATAAACTTAAAAAATCCTTTTCTAATAAAGACTTACTTCAAAACAAGATCATTTAATTATTTAATAAGCATTTATATCTGCTGTATTATCAGCTCAGGGCTGACTACTGGGGACAAATAAAATAAGCAAATATGATTCTGTCTTTATGAGTCTTATGTATTGATTCTATGAATGGGATTATTCACATGAAACATCAGGTTCAATTCCATTTAGTTGTTAAAAAATCAGTAAATGGTAGCTACTATCATTGTTCTATACATTATTACATCCTTTTAGTAAGGATGTAAAATGAAGTAATAGAAATATTATTTTAATATAAATGTTCTTAAGCTATAAAATACTCAAGTGGCTACTACCTAAGCAGCCACAGAACATGATGACATGTACTCTTCATGCTGTTCTAAAATGTTTAATTTTTTTGTTAATAGAGTATCTTTCAAAACCTAATAGCCCATATGCACTTTTTTTGTTTAGAAAAATCTAATAAATTTTTAAATTTGAAAAGGATCTCCTGTAAGCTAAATTAATTATAGAATTAATAAATGGGAGAGGCAGTCTTTTGATATGTTGATAATAATTGTGTTTTTATCAAAGGTTACAATACTAACCTTTTTTACAAATTAAATAGACCTAACTTAATTTCAGTGTTTAAAAAATGTATCTGTGAATAATCTCTATAAAAGGAAATTCAGATGAGTAATCCAGTCTCCCTTTTGGGGGACCTATGATTTATTTTCAGTTATTGTTTTAATACAGGTTTTATTAATTGGTAACTAATTATTTTATGAATACCTTACAACTTAAGTGTGAATGTGCTTCTCTAGGTGCCTAAGGGTGTAGATATGCATTTGCACTTATTTGCTAATATTTTAAAAAGACAGGCATGTAAAATGCAGCACATTATGGTCTCCCAGTGATTTTCAAGTAAACTCCCGTAACAACTACAATAAAAGGCAATATATATGCTTTGTTTTTCAATAAGAAAACAAATTTTTAAATTTCTAAGTCAATTAACCTTACTCACTGTTAAGCAAATATTTAGTGCTTACTATATAATAAACTTGGTAATTGATATAAAATAAATAATACATAATGGATATAAAATATATAATATCCTTAAGATGTGCATCTGATCTTGTTAGGAAGATTCATATACAATGAAGTAGATAAGATTTATTAAGTGCTTACTTTGTGCTAGCTACAATACTAAGTCCTTGGTGTACATTACCTTGTTCAGTTCTCATAGTATTCCCTGGAAATCAGGACTGTTCTGATCCCAAGAATATGAAAGAGGAAACCAAGACATCCAGAGATGGATGTGAAGAAAAATGTGAGAGGTTATATAGATAGGAAGAAAGAGTTTTAATTCAAATCCTGAAGGCCTTGACCTGGACTTCTTAACTCCCTCTCTTAATGACACATTATACTCTCTCCACTCTTACTCTGATAAGTGTGAGAATTGAAGTATCTATAGATTTTTATGTGCCTTGAGAATTGGAAATGTTTAACTCTGAATGAGGTGAAAGTGAGGTTTATCGAGAAAACTTCAAAGGGCCAATTATTTTCAATTCATTTCCAGACTGAATAGAACGATTGCTATCTTCTTCATGAAATGGTTGTGCTTCACACCGTGTTAATACTTGTGGTACCCCAGGTTCACCTTCAGGACTTAAAATGGTCTCTGTTTCCTACAAGCTCAGCCCTGCTCAGATCCTGAATGTGGCTAGTGAGTGGAGTTATGGAAACATTCTGCTTTCCCCAAGGCTTCTGTGATGAACTTATCAGTTGGGTGCCCAGTTTAATGAAAGGTGTTTACATTTATTACATTCCCACAATATACAGCCATTATACTTAATAATCTTGCATGCCTCCTGATTCTTGCAGGGTAACAAAAACCAGTACTGACCTTCTTAGTTCCTACAAGCACCTTTCCAGGTTCAGCTCTCACTTACATGGCTTTGCACGTTTCCTCCACCCAAAACAGAATCACACTCCCCTCAACCCACTAAGCAACTGTAAAATAAAATTTCATTGCTTAATCACACTACCCTGGAACTAGGACTTGTTCTGTATTGGATTCGATCTGACCAGCTAAACACCACCCTCTTATATTCCATGGACATTTTACCAATACTTTCCAAAGAGAGAAAGAAAAGGGCCCAGGTGTAAATCCTCTGAGGAAAGGTCTTTTAGTTTTTGTTTAGTTTTTAGATATTATAACTGAAATCTTAGCCCTTTTATTTTTTAGGAAAATGATTTTATCAATTACGCATAAGTTAGTAAATTGATTTTTCTTTAAATCTCTACCTTTATCATTGTTAATGATATTGATTAGAGGAAAAACAATCAAATTTATATCTTAAACCAAATAATTCAATACTATATTATGGTTTGTGACTTTAGCAATAAATAACTGATACACTCAAATATTTCACCGAAGAGAATTAAGTGAAAGAATTTTGAGAAAAAAAATGTAAACATAGTTAAAGGAATTAACAAGAGGTGTAGTGAAGCACCAAGGACTTGCATTAGCTAAATTGGGGTTGGGGAAGGGAGTCCACTCAAGGTAGCTGTGAAATTTGGTGCAGGAAGAGAATGGAGGAGGAGCATCACTGCCAAAGTCACAACTAGGCAGTGAAAATGTAGGAAGAGAGGATACTGCAGACTCACTCCTACAATCTTTCCATCTCTTTCCAATTGCAAATCCAAGCATAAGTCAGAAAGCAAACCTAAGTAATGAAGACCATGAATGTTAGTTAGGCTTCCAGAACACAGAGCAGGGTGGTGAAGGCCACAGTGTATCTGGAGAGAAAAACCGGTAAGCACCAGCACCAGCACTTCCATTTCCTAGGATCTATTACAAGTTTTATGGGTCAATTTACTTAATCTTTATAAAACAATATAAGGACATTAGAATAATCAAAAACAGCACTGAAAAGTTAACTAAGTTTCCATGCCCACGTAGCTAACAAGAGCTAGAGATAAGTTTCAAGCTCAGAGACCCCAGTTTCAGAAGCCATGTCCTTAACTACTCTGCCTTCTGCATCAGAGAGAACTCATGTTACATTTAAATTAAACAGGGTGTAACTATTGAGATCTGAGGATTTCATGATATTGAATTGGTAACTTAGGAGCATATTTCTGAATGGTATCTCATGTAAACATAACTTTATTTTTTTAATCATCACCAAAGTGACAAAAGTGTTTATTAGAAATGAAGAAAAAATTATTGAAGGAAAAAGAAAGAATGAGTATAAAGTAAGACCTAAGAGTTTGGCAACTTTGCTAACTCTTTTATTTCCATATGTTGCCAATTGATTTCTACTTCTTATCCAGGGGTCTAAATGCTTTGTTACAAAGCAAATGAAGATTTTTTTTCCCTTTAAGTTTCCTGAGTGGTAAAACTAAAAATAGCTACAAATTACCAATCATGTCATTCAATTTTTTTTTCATGGTAACTCCCCCAAAACTACTAGAAGCATCATCATGATATAAATATAATGATAACATCTATGAAAATAAAATGAAAAGACATTGGTAACAAGTGAAAAGAAAGTCATGAAAAGCTATGTAGAAGGATAATACTTGATAAACATAAACTTAAATTTGGAAGGAGTTCTTTTACCTGTTGGACTTGAAGCAGACACATGTTATCTCTAATGATACATATATTTAACTCATAAATTCATTTAAGAAGTATTAATTGAGAACCTTCTAGTTGCTTCAGGTACATGGGATACAATGATCCTTACTTTAGGGAATTTCACATAGCTGGACATCTTCTGAAGCTCTCAAAATGTTTTTGAAAAAAGGGAGTACCATTTTCCTAAATTAAATATACAATATAATATTTCTTTCCCTAAATTATCATGAAAATGTTTCAGTAGCTTTGTATAAATAAATGATTAGAAGTTCATGATACAGATGTAGTAGTGATTTTTCTGTATTTCATAAATTAAAAAATAAATTTTCCTATTTTAATATCACTGAAATTAGGATGCATTTTTCAATTGCTAATTGCAAGTATAGTTGTCAGCATTTTTGTCTTTATTAGTGATGTGTAAAAATAATTCTGAATCATATGATAGAGAACAATGTAGATTAAATAATCCATGGTATGTTTAGAACATTAACTTAACAGATATATCTAGAAAGTTAAATAAAAAATACTGGAAAAGAAAGGCACAGTTTAACTATTGTGAATTGTGCTGCTATAAACATTGATGTGGCTGTGTCCCTGTAGTATGCTGTTTTTAAGTCCTTTGGGTGTAGTTCGAGGAGAGGGATAGCTGAGTCAAATGGTGGTTTCATTTCCAGGTTTCCAAGGAATCTCCATACTGCTTTCCTTATTGGCTGCACCAATTTGCAGTCCCCCCAACAATGTATGAGTGTGCCTTTCCCCCCACATTCTCGCCAACACTTATTGTTGTTTGTCTTCATAATAGCTGCCATTCTGACTAGAGTAAGATGATATCTTAGAGTAGTTTTGATTTGCATTTCTCTAATTGCTAGAGATGATGAGCATATATTTGTTGATTGCTTGAATATCCTCTTCTGTGGAGTCAACCTAGATGCCCTTCAGTGCATGAATGGATAAAAAAAAAATGTGGC